ATGTCCACACAGCAAATATATAGACTATCGTTTTCCAACTATCTCTGGGTATCACTCCATGCTGTTTGTGAGTCGAAAGGCTTTGGAACAACATGGAAACGATGTCGGGTCCGCTTTGGCAGGTGGAGCACCTCCAATGAAGCCAGCAGCGAGTGCGGCAGCATGTTTTACAGAGGAGAATGATAGCAGTAATTTGGGGTGTTAAAAATTGCAAATTCGTAGGGGAAAACGACACTGATGATAAACCATGAAATTGAGCCTTAGTTCTCCCACCGATCAAACAAACAATGGCAGTTTGGCCGTGGTCGCACCCTGTACCTTGCAAAATGCGCTGTAGGTGTTATGCAACTGTTCAGAAGTGTTGGCATAGTCAGTACAATTCCCAAAACATCGAATGTTGTTCTTAGATTGAAACCATGTCCCCAAAGATCTCCCCAAAGATCTTCGGGGTTGACCTAGGGTGATGATTGTGGTAACTACCAAGTAGCCACATGTACATCGATCATACCAGCCATCCAAACCGGCTCAATGGCAGGGACGATGAGAAGTTTAGTTCCCAAGTGTTGCCCAAAAGGCCCGGTGCTTTCTGACCTGAAAGACATGTTCTGACAACTGAACAACTGCTCTGAAGTTCTGCGGTTGCGTTTAATGTCGCGCAGGGCCTCAACCAAACCTTTGCGAACCGGGCTATCATTTCATGGCCATTCGCATCAGCAGTTTGGCTGCAAAATCACTGGTATCTTAAAGAGTACTTCTGCTTGTGAGGCAAGATAGTTTTGCGAGCTGTCAGGGCTGTTTTAGAGTAGCTGCACTTCTACAAGCAACCAGTGGTTAGAGGTGTTTGTAGATGATTTTCCCATTGAAAAACCATTCATAGGGGTTTCCCGTTGCGATGTTTGATTACTGGCGGGCTTGAGACGAAGATGCGAATGCTAAGCAGGATTGTCTGTGCCTGTCACATAAGGCGAACTTTCCATGAAGAAGGTGGTGTATTTGATAGCAGAAGTCGGTCCGAGCGCCTGGTTTCCTGAAAAAAGCTGGGCATCTCAACCCGCTCCCCTTGGCTCCCTTGGCTCAGATGCCAAGCGACAGTGTCTCAAACTTCTTTCCAAAGGAGCAGCAATCTTTTCAGTCGATGCAAATGGAAATCCTGCAACTCTGAATACATCCAGATAGGAGTCCTTATATTTCATGATATTTCATGATATCACGAAAGCTAGCGTCAGCTAGCTGGAGTCTTCTTGCTTTAGCAAGTATTGGGGGGGCTGCTCAAGGACATCACGTGATTTTTCACGCGAAAGGGGGGGACCCCCCCCCACCCTCACCCACCACCACCACCATCACCACCATCACCACCATCATCATCATCATCATCATCGTCATCATCATCGTCATCATCATCGTCATCGTCCTCTCCATTCCATCGTCCTCGTCCTCGTCCTCGTCCTCGTCATCATCATCATCATCATCATCATCATCATCATCATCATCATCCTCGTCGTCCTCGTCATCGTCCTCGTCATCGTCATCGTCATCGTCATCGTCATCGTCATCATCATCATCATCATCATCATCATCCCCGTCGTCATCATCATCATCATCATCATCCATCATTCATCATTCATCATTCATCCTTCATCCTTCATCATTCATCATTCATCATTCATCATCATCATCATCATCATCATCATCATCATCGTTATTCAATTACATTTTATCATTATTGGCAATCATTGTCATTATCACGAAAGCTAGCGTCAGCTCGCTAGAGTCTTCTTGCTTTAGCACGTATTCCGGGGCTCCCCAAGGACATCACGTGATTTTTCCCGCGAAAGGGCCCCCCCCTGCCCCCTCCCCCATATATATCATTGTTATATATCATATATCAATATATCATTGTTGCATCCTCGTTGGGACGAACAATGCCGCGACACGATGATGACAGTCCCTCTGCCACTCACCTCTTCCCTTCCTTCTTTCTCCTACCCCGCTAGCTTTCGTCATCCACCCCCGGCCTCAAGTTTCCACATTCCAAGATTTCAAGTTTTCCAAGGATTAACCAGCTTTTTACATGAGATTTTTCCAAGGTTCAACAGTCGGATGAATCCCCCGGCCCTGGGGCCCTGGTTTTTCAGCTTTTTCAGCCAGGCCACAGTCCCAAGAGCCGGAGAGAAGACACCTTTCCAGACGCCCTCAGCCGCTTAGCTGGCACAGCTTTTCGGAATGGGGGTCGAATGGGAAAATGGACTTAGGACGAGGATATCATTGGATATAACTTCTGAACCAACCAACAATTTGGTATATTTGCTGTGACTTTGAGTCCGAACATGGGATCCCGCAAAACAAGGCCATTCTAAGAGGGAACATCATGATAAAATCAATGGATGTTGCGGGTATCAGGTGGATAAATCCGACGTGATGTCCAAACTCTGTCTCCTGAGGGAGATGTCCGAACACGATGTGAATGAAGCGCCTACAGACGGGCCACTTGGATGGTATGGGATGGCATGGGATGGCATAGGTCAGTATGATACCGTGTTTGGGTGGTGAACAATGGTGAACATCTATTTACTGTACTATGTCACTATGTCATTGCTATGTCGTTCACCAGGGCCACAAGATTTTGACATTTTTGACCCGATAATCGGGAATTATGAGACAAATTCTTGCGACCAGAATCCAAAATCATGGTGGGATGTGACACTCCCACAGTAGGATCTTGATTGTGGCTTGCGAGACAGTACTTGCATCGCTTAATGGACATGTGGCAGATGCGAAAAGCCACATAGCCATCACATCACATGCGAGGTCCAACACGAACCCCTGCGAGACCCTTCTTCAACTTCAGGGTTTGGCGGCGCCCCCTGATGGCGATATGGCGGAGTTGAATCTGAAACCGCATCCATGCTGGGAGACGAAAGAGAATCGAGGGCTCCAAAGTAACACCGTCCGGACCATCCGGTCAAGGAAGGTCAAGCAGCCTGCGAACTCCAAGACAAGTGGAGGGTTTCTTGGCGCAGATAGAAGCAGTGCATGAAGCTATGAGCTGGGATGCGCAATCCAAACACTGATTGTTCTGAGGCGTTCTAATGAGAAATGAATGTACATCCTAAACCAAGGATCCCGAAATCACGACGACAAAAGGAAGAGCAATCGGCGTGTTGCGTTCGAATAGGCTCGTCACTTCACAATGGCTGAGGTCTGGTTTTCACTTGCCTTCGGGAGAGTTTGCAGAGAGGCCTGCAGTTAAAGTCTTGAGGCTTTGATCCACATTCTGAATCACATTTGGCGGGGTAGGCTCCATAAGTTGAGTCAATTAGAGCATTTGATGGAAGAAGTGGGAGAACTTTTGGATTACATCGGGGCCGGGCTTGGACATGTATGCAGGGTGTATTCATTTCTGCAGGCTGGGCGAGGAAGGCAATTGAAATTACATTATGTCGGAATGCATTGGAGGTGGAGTAACACCTGATTGGAAGACTTTGTGGCTCCCTGACACAGATGAAATTCAGGAAACACCGTCTTCGCAGCCATCTGGGCTGCTGCCCTAGTGGTCATTTGGTGGTGGAGGGTTGCTTCGGTGCAAAGGTTTGCAACAGATGTCGCGCATTTGATGAACCACCATTTTAGTCCCAGCACTGATCAAAACCACACTAAATAAGTGTAGAGTTGACATGAGTTGACCTCATGGCATCCTCCGGGGTCGTGCCTGTTTGCAGGTGGATGTGGCTTCATCCAAGCGGTGGCTTCCGAGCATGTTGGAACTCGTTGGTTGCTCTCCTAGTGCTGTACGATCTCTTGGTGATCCCTTTGAGTGTCTTTGATCACCCAAAAAGCTCCCTGATGCATGCGATGGACATCGGCATGCCAATTTTTTGGTCCATGGACTTCATTCTCACCTTCTTCACTGGATATTATCAACAGGGTGAGCTCATCAGTGATTTCAAGAAGATTGCTTATCAATATGCAATGCACTGGATGCTGTATGACCTTGGTCTGATCGCTCTGGATTGGATATTTGTCACCATGGACTATTTCATGCTATCCGGCTCGGAAGGGGCAGACTGGTCACGCAGCTTGCTCATGCTGCGGATTTTGCGCTTGGCCCGGATCATGAGGGCCATCAAACTTCGACAAGGATTTGATGCTTTCCAGGATCTTTTACACTCCCAGGCTTGAGAATTTGCGGATGTTTGTGTGTTGTGTAACGCGTATCAGTGTGTCCGTGTGTCTCTGTGTCGGGGTAACAACTGGTATTCAAGTCCTCTTGGTACTCGTCCTTGTGCCGTGGCTCCGAATTTGGGAAGCTGTCATTTAAGCGAAGGGAAACCCAATGACCTTGCCTGGAGTTGCTGTGTCAGCCGTTGCTTTTTTTCCTGAAAAGTTGGCGGTTTGACAGTTCTTGTCCTTCAGGATCTTTAGGTTACCCTAGTGGCCCTAGTGGTTCTTGGACCAGTTATGGCGACAGCAAGCCCTCGGCACTGTCGCTGTATACATTGCATGGACATGGCAGGCAGTTATGTTGTGACCCCGAGCGCTCTGTGGACACTTTCTGTGAAGGAAAACGTTTGCACAGATAGCTTGTGTGCAACAGCATGATGGCAGGAATTGGAATCTGATTGTGATCCTAGAAGGTGTATGAAGGTGTATATATTTATTGCCCCTTGCCTGTGTGCAATGTGCATATGCAGCTATGTTGTCAGTTCGTCCATGATATGTTTTAGATCCAAGGCTTCACCATTCATCTGTTGAGTTGACCTGTTTCTCAGCATGGCAGGTCTGGTGTCATGCTAGCCGTTGCACAAATCATTGGATTCGGACCACTTATTTAACCCACACCTTGAACGCTCGTCGTTTCTAAGAGAACTCATAAACTCATATCATATTCCTACGCTGAAATCTTTATATAGGTCAGATTTTTTGAGCCAAGTTAACGTTGCCCATCTTATGTGTGTCGTAGATATGTTGAAATCTGTTGATATATGACAGCCATTTTTTTGGAGGTCCAACTTGAGAACAAACCGCTTTGTTTTGCCAGGCAAATAGCCTTTATGTGAGTTTCTTGACAAGTCTCGGGCAGCTGCTGATCTTGAACCACTGGATGGCTTGCGCCTGGTTTGGAGTGCGGTGGTTACACCCAAACGACAACTGGGTGGTGAAGAGCGGGATGGACCAGAATTATTGGACTCATCAATACCTAATGTGTATGCTCTGGAGTTTTTGCCAGTTGGGTGTCGGCGAGAGCCCTCTGCAGCCGACCAACGAAACCGAGATGGTCTTGAACTGCGTAATTGCGTTCAGGTCTCTCATAACTTCTGCTACGCTGATCAGTACAATGAGCAACCTCATTGCTGGCTTGAGATCTTTGAGAGAAGACGAAGCGACACAGTTTCGGCTCTTGCGCCGCTTCTTGGCGCAAAACAGCATTCCCCATGAGGTCAGCCACAAGGTGACGCAATTCCTCCAGCACCAGTTTGCCAAGAGCCAGAAAGCCAGGTGCGACATTGTCAAAAGTCCTAGATACCTCCATACTATTCCATACCATTCCATACCATTCCACACCATTCCATACCATTCCATACCATTCCATACCATTCCATACCATTCCATACCATTCCATACCATTCCATACCATTCCATACCATTCCATACCATTCCATACCATTCCATACCTACATACACAGATATTAATATCTAAATACGTAGATGTTGTCGGGACAAGTGTTACACAGGATCGGTGTCCAAGCTGGGCGGATATTCCTCACTAGGGTATCCCTCAAAAATGCATGTGTAAGCATAGCAGAAGGAGTTGATAGACGTTGTCACCATTTCATCCTGCAGTCAGGTCGTCGGATCTACGAGTGCCACTGCTTGATTTGCTTTCTCGTCCACTCTTCAGGGAATTGCAATTTGAACGGCACCGAACATCACTGTGCAAGCTGCCCGTGCTGAAGGCTCTGCTCGAAGCTCCTGATATTCAGACCTTGGAGGTGATGCACTCAACCAGCAACAGTTTATGCCAACTAGTAGCAGCAGCTCAAGACATCATATTTTTGAGCGGCAGCCATGCCTCTTCTTCGTATTTGAAGCTGAGTGGGACATTGACATATTATGATGATGCAGGGGCAATTGAGGTGGACAACCGGTGCTGGGTGGCAGAAGCTTGTTTGTGGACCCCTTGGATCCATATGGGGGAGTTTGAAGCCAAAGAAGTGTCAGACTTGCTCTGCCTAGATGCGGACTGCTTCTGTGAGGCACTCTCCAAGACAGGCAGTACCCAGCAAGCTGCCAGCGCCTATGCAATGGAATTCCTGGACACTTGGAGATTATGGACTTTTGACTGATCTTTTCACTTGTTTTTTTCTGTTTTTTTTAGTTTAGTGCTTCTAAATCTGTTATGGCAAGTTGCAGGGTTCCAGTTTCTGTGGGCGAAACGTCAAGGCTGCAATGCAGAAGTCGGGGCGCTGGACAGACATTTTCGTGGATCATGACTTGAACTCTGTTGATGGAGAAGCGGAGTCCCCGAAGATGGACTTGCCCTTGCCTGGTTTTTGTGGGGGATTCTGTCACCTGGATGCATTGACACCATGTAACATGTATGATAAATATGTGTGAATCTGTGATCTGTTTCATAGGCGATACCAGGTTGTGAAACTCTTGTACATTGAATGACCCGCGTGTTCGCCGGGCCGGTTATGGATCAAGGGCCCTTGTGCGCGACGTGAAAAGTCTTGCCCCCGAGTCCCGCCAGTTTGATACTGGAGGGGGTCAGAAACACCATAGGCGCTCTAGATTGCGCTTCGTGTCCATGTCGCATAGTCTCACGTCCAGCATCCGATTTGGAAAAACCGAGTGCAGCAAGAGTGCGGGAAAACAACAAAGCAGGTTGGTCCTCTGAAACAGATCCTGTGTTTACGCACTGTATACTCAAAATGTGTGCTGCTACATGAGGCCCAAGTCACGATATTAAAAAAGAATGTCCGTTGCCTTTGTTCATCAACACTGTGTGGTCGCCCGTTTGACAACTTGCCTCGCACTCACCTGCGCACAGTTTTTCTTAGGCACATCGTTTGCAATGATTGTTCGCAGTATCTCCTGTATCATTTCACCACTCATATTTTTCCATTTTGGACACTGTTCGTGAGATTTTCAGTCCATGTTGAGTTGCTTTTCTGAGGTCCTCGATTGGTGAGAAAACGTCCTCATGCGCCAAGGCTTCAAAGCATACTTCCTGACGAAAGTGATGAGCCTGATCTGAGCTGAGACATACTCTACTGTAGACTCTACTGCCTCTGATTGCTACCAGTTGTGCAGATTCCTCACATATATATATAGATCATGTTTGTTTTTATAAAAACCTTATATACTGTATTGTATATAATCCCGTTTTCACCGCCCGAGCCCCGCTACCGGGGTAAGAGTTCGCTTGCTACGGTTTGCTGTGAGCATGCCGTAGCAGGACGCTGTCAAAGCAAGCTGTGGTTGGTTGCACGATCGGTTCTTGAAAACATAATATCGTTTTATGATGTCAATAAATCATGTGATATCATTGGTTGCAAACAACCTGTGTCAAGTACAACCACAGTTTTTGTTAAAGTCGAGAACTGTCCCACCCAACAACTGCCACAAGTGTCTCTCAAAGAGTAGACCAGAACCGTGTTTTAAATAGGTGAGCAATTTTTCATCCCAGGTTTGACAAACGAGCTCCTTCGGTGGCCTGGTATTTCATTCTGAGGGTTGAAACCTGGCCACGGGTGTTGATCTACCTTGTTGCCATCCCAGATGTTCTCAGATTGCGTACAGTATACACATGTAATATACACAGAATTCACAGATATATCAGATATGTAGCCTGAGAATATTTGGGAGAAAAAACCCAAAATGTTGACGCTTTGCACACACACACACATGTGATGACTCTCAGTTTCTGATGTCGCAGTGTGTGCGCCGTTGCATTTCTATCTCGCTAAGACAACATTCAGCTGCAAGGCTATAGCATGGACCTGCTCAAATCACAAGTCACTGCAGCATGGCATTCTTCCTCCCCGTAGGGTTTCAGATCCTCCTGTGAATCTGGGGCTGAAACGGTGTTCTTTGGCATGGTGGGCGCTGTCAAAGCAAGCTTTTGGGACTTGCACCGACAGCTGGCAGATTGTTGCTTGCGCAGCAGTTAGCTGATGAACTGTAGGAGCTTAGTGTAGCGCGCTCTAGGTTTTGACCTAAATAGGGTTTACCTTAGTTTTGGGCTCAAGGTAGCCGGGGGCCATGGTTCGGGCCGCGCTAGGGGTCGTTTACCTCCTAGCGTCAGCCACGGCAAATGGATGGAACTTGTTGCAGCTTGGACTGCTGACTGGTACCAACTCCTCCGACGATCTTAGAAACCGAACAGAAGCAGGCCCAAGGGACCGAGGCGGGCCATCCCGCCCGGATCCTGGGCTTGGAGGTAACGGAACTTGGGACTGGTGGAGTGTTGCCTGGGATGGCGCCTACCATTACGTCGGAAACAGCTGGTGGATCAAAATGTGGGTACGGATGCTGTTACAGGTTGCGGAGAATGGGATAAGCTATTGTGGGACTCTTTGTGCCTCAATTGGCTTAGCTGCCCGATGGAGCTACTGGCTCCTTACCGGGATGGTCCTCGTCTTCTTGCTCCAGTTGCTTGTATGGACCTACACGTGGGTCATTCATCCGACTTGGATTCACTCCAGGGCCCTCTGGCGATACTGCCAAGGGACAGGCACTTGGAGCGATGTGACACGCTTGCAGGGGCAGAGGCCTTTCATACCCGTGTGGAAAGGGCCGGGTGCAGGGACACCATGGTCCGCCTTGTACATCCAGCGCGAGGTACGGGGAAGAGGACCGAATCAGAAGCCATTCGACCTCTTAGTTGCAGACGGAGTTGCTGTAGCGAGGCTTCGTCATGGGACTATAAGGGGAAGAACGAATCGGCACGGTTTCCTCTGCCAGTGTGAAGAAGTTCGAGCCTCGTCGCATCGATACCTCCGTCACCACATAGAGACTGCCAACTGCGCTGTCCACCTGTGCGCTCAAGACCCTTGCACCGCCCCAGAAGTTGCGCAGGTGCATATCAGGGCCAGCGCAACGGTCCCGCAGGACCGAGAGGTCAACCTGCAGGAACTAGCAGGAAGAGGGCCCTGGGGACGGTGCGCGGTGATCACAAGTTTTTGCGGGATACTTTGGTGCCGCTGTTTCGGCCGCAGCATGGCAAGATGCGGCCGAGCTTGGTGCTGGTGTCTGTGGTGCCGGTGTTGCCGTACGAGGCGAGTTTCTCGCCCGGAGCGCGGCACAGGGTACCAGGGCCAAAAACACGAAGATTCTGAGACGGAATCCGAGGCGGAACTAGGCCCCACGGGGCTGCATTGTCAAGCGGACCAGGTCGCCCTAGACAACTACGGCAAGGTGGTTCCTCTTGCTGCTGGACCTTGCAGAGACGTGGCCCGAGGCTGTCCCGTTGTGCTTCTACAAGCTGACCGATCCAACAGCTGTCTTGATGGGTTACCAACCACTGAAGGCGGCGACCCATGCTTTCATGCCTGTGAGTACCACAGGTCCATGTACCAGGGCTCGCTCCTGGGTCGAGCATGTGCGGTGAAGGGGTGCTTGCAGCCAGTCACAGGGACCAGGAAGGGGGTCAACTTTTGCAAGTTGCACGGAGCCACAGAGGAGAAGCCCCGGGCCAAAACCGCACCTAGGGCATGCGAGGCTTCACCGCCCCAGGTGGATACCGGCCAAAGGTCAGAGACTGCGCGTCAACCAGAGAGACCAGAAGTCAACGCAATGCAGGGCGCGGTGGCTGACAGGGCAGACCTTGCTGAGCTCCTGGTCGAGCTGCTCCAGGGCAAAGAGGCAGAGGAAGCGTATCAGGCCCTCTCTGCCAGGAACCCGGGGGACGGCAAGTGGAAGCATCCTGGGTTCCAGGACTCGTTGACTTCCCTGGCGAAGGCCTATGTGCAACAACACAAAGACTTGGAAACCCGAGAATCACCCGCCTGGAGAGCGCTCAACCGCCTTGCGCATCCCCCTGCCGTATGTCAAGAACCCGAATACGACCCGGTAACTCGGATGCTGGAGGCCACGTTGGAGAGGCCCACAGAAGAAGAGAAATCCGACACGCCAGCCCCACGGCTGGGGAGGCCGGCCTCGGCTCCTGCGAGTCATTTCCCGGGTCCTCGCACTTCCGGTGAGCTCGCTGCGAGCTTGTTTCGCCCTAAGAGCGAGATCGATTCTGCCCTGCCGCGCCCGAGGCTTGTTTCGAGCCCGGGAGCGGTTGGAACTTTCCCAGGAATGTCCGGTCCAGCAGGTTCCGGAGGGATACAAGGTTTGCATGCCTTCCGACCCTTTCATGCTGGAGCATATACCGATCCGGGACCTCCGGCCCTCGATGAAACTTCAAAGGCTCTGCAGACAATCGCAAAAGTTATGGCGGCGAAGGAAGACCCAGCTGCCCAAGATCGAGGGAAGCTGTCCTCGATCGGCAGAACAGAAAGGATGCTGTACCTGGCTAGAGGGTGCGACACGCTGACGGTGCACCTTGGGGAAGCCACGGTCGGAAAGGAGCTGTACCATGCCCTAAAGTCTGTAGCGACGCAGAACCGGCCCTTGTTGAGAGAAATCAGCTTCCCGGTGAACATTACCAACCGCATCGCCTTTGGGGCTGCCTCCTTCAGTTTCGGAGGCAAAGGTAATCCGCCTGACTATTGCCTCACGGTGGCCGATTTCGCCCAGACCTCGGAGGAGGAGTTTGACTTGTTTAGCCCGCCTGGGGATAACAAGTTGGAAAAACGGGCGCGGAATCCCACTACTCTGTCCAATTGGTACAGAAATGCTCTGCGCCAAGCTTGGGCCATGGCATGTATCCTGGGGGCAGAGTACTATGGCAGTTGGGAAAAAGCTGCGGCACAACTCCTTAAATTCGGGGAAGAATATGCCCATGCGTGGCCGTTGCACTCGGTCATGAGTGTGTGGGAGGAGCTTTGGGCCCGCTTCACGGAAGAGTTGAGAGCGCTCGATCGAAGGGCCAGGCGAGAAATGCAAGACGAGAGCCCTAGCTTTGACCGTCTTCGGTTTTTCGCCACATCCCCTGGAGAAAATGGCGAACCCTGGCTCCGGCTGCCTCAAACTTTCGACCTTCAGGCGCCAGGAGAGTACTTCCAAACGGATATTGTTCCTCGCCAACAGCGCATGTTGGATCGTGCTTGCTGGTCAATGGCCCTCAAGAGACCGTCACCACTCACTGGCGGACGAGCTGGAGCTGAAGATATTGGCGGACCAGACAAAGCGCAACCTTCCGCTCCCAACCCTAGGAACCCACGGGCTGGAGGCAAAGGGAGTGCCCCTGGCGCTAACACTGCCGCCAAGGAACCCGCCCCCCTCCTGGGAAATGCTCTGACCAGCAAAGAGGCGGGCCGCTCCATGGATCACCGCCCGAAGGACAAAGACGGGAAGTATCTGTGTTGGGATTACTTTTCCCACCGCAAGTGCAACAAGGGAAAGGATTGCCCGTATTCGCACCACGGCAACGCACCACGCTGGGACACCCTCGATTGGAGCGTGCAGATGCAACTCTTGCGACGAGGCGGGCATCCCGCCCGTCCGAAACTCAAAGGGGACCAGGTGGACGCCACCATCGAATCCATCCGAAAGGAGCAAGCCCAGAAGCTAGAGTCCAACATTCAGGAAGGCAAAAGAGCGAAAGAGATGGCCAAGCGGACCGGGGGCCCTCCTCCTCAGGATGCCTCGACCCAGTACCGGGAAGACACCCGAGCTGGCTGGACCCCAGCGCCCGCGGCGCTAGCCAATTTTGCCGCCACTGATATGGAAGACCCCCTTGCTCGACTTATGACAGGAGAAGCTGCTGCAAGTTGGACCCTCGACCACGCGCCCCCCGCTGTGCGCACGGTCACTTACCGGGAGTCACCCGATTCAGCCGAGATCCAAGCCAAGCGTCACTGCATGGACGAGATTGACAGCAGCGGCCTTCTCCCAGATCTACCCCAGCATCTGGGCACCTATCTGCGCAACCGGCTAACAGCCGTAAACAACCGGGCTCCAACCGCTCACGATGTTCAAGAATTCCTCGAGGACGCTATCCGAGAAGGCAGTGCCGAACTTGCTTCGGAAGCTACTGACTATCTCCATAATCACCCTGACACGCATGTCGGGTCGCGAGAGGGCCGCGGAGCATTGGGGCAATTCTCAGTACACGGCTTCGACGGGTACTCCTGGGCGACCTTTCGCTGGAGAGACGGTGACCATGCAGTCTATGACTACGGCGACCAGCTTGCGCCCGTGCATCCTGAGCTACAACCTCTGCAATGTCCCAAACCAGAAACGGAGCCCCGACAGTGCTTCTACCTGCATGTGGCGGCTGGCCTTCTGGCCCATACCGCGAATCGTGTGCCCGCTCTCTCTGAGGTCCGCCTCAAAGCGGCAGCCTTACAGGAGGAAACTTTCCGCCTGGCTCTGGCTTGCGCGGAAAATTTGGGCCCGGAACCTGACATTTGCACTCAAGCTGAAGAAGACTTGCGCATCTTCGTGCACGACGCTCTCTTCTTCGGCCACGACAAGGATTACCGGTGCTTGGCAGCCTTTCCCCTGGCAGAGGCCGCAGAAGTCTCGTTCTGTCTCGTCCGCATGGACGCTTGGAACCGCATCTCTTGCGAAGTCATCCAGGGGGCCCACAGTCGTTCCGACCCGAAATCTCTTATCTGGCTCCTGGTCCACCAGGGCCACATGCGGCTACTCCTCCCGGAAATCACGACCTCTATCCCGGACAACGTGCGGATTGTCACTGCTGCTGGCTGGGAAGTCCACCTGGAAGCGGCCGCCGAGCACGGGGCGCGTCATCGCGCCCGTGCCCCAAAACCATGCCCGCGTTGCCAAGACGACCCCATGCGTCGTACCGGCGTCACCACCGGGGTGTTCGGCTTGTACCCTTTTCCAGCTGAGACGGCTGCTTTAGATTCCCGAGCAGGAGCATCTTGGTGGGAAGTCGACGAGCCCCCCTTCGAACAATGGACCCGCGAGGACCTGCAGGAGCTCTTCCCTGGCCAACGGCTCCCTGAGCCCGGCCAACCGCTCCATTTTCTGGGTGTATACGTTGACGCCCTCGGTTGGGACAACGCCCCGGATGTGCCGGTTGGCGCCGCCCTTTTTGTCGGTCCGGCCACTAGCCGCAGCTTCTGCAATGGCCGTGTGCGCTCTCTTCTTCGCGCAGCTCTCACTCTCTTGCGCCCTCGCCACGTTTGGGTCCTCCTGCCCCGCACGGGCCTCGGCAGCTGGCCTGAGCCTTCCGCCCGCGCCTTGGGGCCTTCTGCCCACCAACACCTGCAGTTTACGCTTGAGCTTGGTCAGCACCAGTTGAACCTGCCCGGGCACTTCACACTTGTTCACCCGTTGACCAGCCCCGTATGGAAAGATCCCGCGGCCATCCAGCTCTTTTCGACATTTCACCGGGTTCGCCTTCCCGCTTCGCCCATTGACCCCGTGGCTGCGGCATTTTGTGGGCCGTCCCCGGCCGCCTACTTGTGCCTGAAAACTACCTCTTCGGCACTGGCTATCGCCGCTGGGTCGTCCTCATCCGAGCTGCCGCATTCCTCTCCCCTTGCCTCCGTTCTCTTCGACGGCGCTGAGGCGTGTTTCGCGCCCGGCGCCGGCCTCCGACGGGCGGGGGGCGCCCCCTTCGTGGTTCAAGGGGGCGGGACTTCCTCGGGGGGGGAGGGGCCTCTTCGTTCTCCAACTTGGGCAAAGACTCCCACGGCTTGAAAGGCCCCCTGGCGCCGCCGCTAGACCCGGCGGTTGAGCGGGCAACAAAGGAATATCTGGATTTCTTCCGAAACCGAGCTTTCTCCGCTGAACATTTCGCGTCTGCTGCTCAGAAAGGATCGGCTCTTCTAGCAGCAGCCGGTGGATGGCAGGAAGCCCTCAGGGCTATCCGCAGGGTTTGGGTGCAAGAACGAGGCGATCACATGTCTGGTCTGCACAGTGACTTCTTTGAAGGGCTGGTTCACCCAGCAGTTTTAGAAAGGGCGAGGCATGTAGCTATCTGGGGAGTCGAGGCGTCTGCTGACTTAGAGGAGACTACTCGGACCAAGAGTGCGCCTCACCCGAGCTTGAAAGAACACCTCGACGAAGCTGCTGCGCAACTCTGGGACGACGCCAGTAAAGGCCGTTCCCTGCTCTGCTTCGACACCGGCAAGGGCTTGGAAGGGGTTGTATCAGTCCCAATGGCCAGGGTCCCCAAGATGAACCCAGACCGCACGGTCTCTGATAAGGGTAGGGTCATCTGGGATGCCACGCCGGTGAACAGGTATTGTCACAAGTCTCGGCACCCGCCTGCGCTCCAACCCCGGCACCAGGAGGTCGCCAGAGCGATACTGTGGTGGAAGCTTCGGTACCCTAGGATCCGAATCCTGCTCAGCAAAAAGGACGTATCAGAAGCCTTCAAGTGGATCCCGGTTCGGCTTGAGGACTCCAAGCTTTTCGCTGCTGATCTTCCAGCCGAATACAGCAATACTCAGGAAGGTATCACCATAGTCTATGGGTTTTTGACCTTTGGCTGGTGCGGTGCGCCCGGAGAATACATGCACTACGCTTGGGTCATTAAACTGGCTCACGAAGCCTTCGCGCCCGAAAACTCCAGGTGGGAGGATACAGTCCCATACCATTCCTTCGTCCTCATGGACGACACGGTGCTGATCGAACCCGAGATTGGGCTGAGACCGGAAACCTCGGTGGCACTGACGGAGCATCTGACTCGTGCTGTTCTTGGGGATGCCAGCATTAACGAAGGAAAGGATTGGCTTGAGGGACGGTTGGAAACTCGCAAACTTATTTGGGGGCTCATTTACGATACCCAAGCCAACACCCGAAGCCTGCCAAGTGCCAAGCTGGAAAAGGCGTACCACCTCCTGCACCTGCCTGACTTTGACAGTGGATGCACTCATGTCCCGCTGCGCCTCATCCAAGAGTTGAGAGGCAACCAGCAGTTTTGGTTGGCGGTGCTCCCGGGCCTGAGTCCGTACTTGGGCTGTACGAATGACCTCCTCGGCCCTGCGGACCCGCAGGGCCTGGCTCGAGCCAAAGGGGATGAGAAACAACAAAGAGAGACTTGGAACCGATTTTGGGAAGCCATTGAGCTTCAACGCTTGTTGGTGGACGTCAGCGCCTCTTGGGAGGTCCGGTTCACTCACCCTCTCAATGCGGCCCTCTCGGTTTCGGAACTGCTCTCCTTCCCAGGGATGCAATCCCAGGTGGTTTGGGCCTGTGGAGATGCCACTCCAGAAAGGGTGGCGGCAGTTGACTGGCACGGAAAGGTAGCAATTGTCGAGCCCGCGAGCCTTGTTTGGCAACGAATCCGCCACTTCTGCGGAGGGGAAGAGAGGACGGACGAGGGGCAGTCGGGACCGGACTCCGAGGATCGAACCGATCCCGATGACGGTCCTCTGATCTCACTCGCCGAGCTCCTCGCCGTGGTGTCACTCGCCTGCACCCGCTGGACTGCTTGGAGGGGAAAGATCGTGATCTACGCGGGGGACAACCAGAATGTTATCTCCTGGCTTGAGAAAAGGCAGGCTGGGCCCCCTGCGGCGAGGTTCCTGCTGCAGCTGCTCGCAGCTTTGGAAACTGTCGGAGGGTTCAGGCTGCACGCGAGCTATGTTCGGACCTACCACAATCAGGTTGCCGACAGCCTCACGCGTGCCGAAGCACAAAGCATTCTGGAGGAACATGAGCTCCGTAAGGTCCCGTTCTCGGAGGTGCTCTTGGGGACTCTCGACAAAGGTTGGACTCGGAGGGCCCTTCTTTGGGATGGAATGGACCATGGAGATAAGGCTGCAGCCCTCCAATTAGGGCTCCGAAGGCATCCAGAGGGTCCGAATAAGCACCCCTTTCCGCTGAAAGAAGGTCTAGTATGCGCTGAGATTGGGGAGGCCGGCCCCTATGAAATCGAGCTTGTCTCCAAGGGGCTTATCGTCCAGAGACACACCCTGGAAGAGGCAAGCCGCCGAGAATGTGCCCCGGAGCGGTATGTGTGCCTTTTCCACCCAGGCGGCAGAGGCGAGGTGGCTACGGCTGCTCGCTTCGCCGAACTTGCTGCGAGGTGGGAGCCGGAAGGAGTCTGGGTCGATTCCATCACCTCTCATGGCCCCAGAGCAGCCGAAAGGATTCTGAAGGATGCAGGATGGCATACCCGTGTCTTCCAAGTCAGCGGCCGAACTCTCCAGGATCAATGCTGGTGGAAGCGATGGATACTGATGGCGGTTCCCGCAGAAAAGCACCTGCCTCCAGCACCTTGTCTCACGCTCGACGCGGAACCCGCTACGCCACCCTTGCACACTTACCCCACTGAATGGTTGCTGGAAGACAAAAGGGTACCAGCCGCCACCTGGAAAAATGGTCGCCTAAAGCTGGACAGCGCTATGCCGCACCTGGGTCAGGCTACCCCAAAGCCTCGAGGGACTCTGCAAACCCCAGAAGGTAGGCGTCATGTTTGTGACCCTTTTAAACCGCTCCCCCAATTACATCATGGGTCATGGGGTAATGACAACAAAGAGTCTCTTTTGTTGCTTGGGTACGGTGCTAATGGCCCTGCGGCGCGCACCATCACGCCCGGGGAGGCCTTTAGGTTGTTAGGTGGTAGGGTAGAACAACATCCCAAGGACACCCCATCCACTGAACTTGCCTTGGGAAGGCTCATGGGTACCCCCCGCAGCCTGGCTCTAGTAGCGGGCCGTTGGGCGAGTGCTCTGGGGACGGACCGGGGCGCCAGCGGTTGTTGCTTTGAGCCCGAGCAGTCCAGCGCTGCTGAGGCGAAGGTTGAAAGTCAGGAGGCGGACGAAACTCCCGAGGCTTGCTTCGAGCCCGGGAACGCAGATTCTGAAAGAGTCGGAATTTGTTCGCTCCCGTGTGAAGATAAGGCGCGAGCGGCGCTCATGGCTTGGCTCCAAAGCAGAGGTTGGGAGGCGGAGCGAAGGGCCGGAGGCACCAAGCGCCGTAAGAAAAAGGAAGAGGACTGGAACATCCAGTTCTCGAAAGCCCTCGCCTCCTGCCTCAGACACGAGGCAGGAAGTGCCGAGTGCCACATCACGGAGGATGGATGGGTCACGATGGACCACCTGAGAGGGTACCCCCGTGCGAAGCTCCGATGGCCGGAAAGGTACATCACTGAGGAGGCGATTCGGGCCGAAGTGGAAGGCAACTTGAAACAGCGCTTCGTGGTGCGAACGGATGAGAGCACCGGAAGGAGCTGTGTTGCAGCCTGGTCCGGGCACACCATACCCGGGGTCGCCGGGCCAGGAGTGTTGGTCAAACCCTCCGAGGTCCCTGCCCTGCTCGTGCATGGCTCGTACCACAGGCATACGGCCAGCATTGTGCAGAATGGGCTGTCAGCAAGCCGCAGAATGATTCACTTGGTTGACCCAGAACGGGCATCAAACAAGTGGAGGGCCGACCTGGAGACGAGAGTGCCCGTCGACACACGGAAGGCCCAAGAGGCCGGAGTCTCCTTCAGAGTGACGGGTAATGACGTCTGGCTGGCCGATGCTGACATCCCGCCTGAAGCCTTGGGAAAGGTCGTCGCATGGACTACTGACGATTTTTGGTTCGCTTCGGAGAGCACTCGCGCCCGAGCCCGACCCGAGCAGGCGTCGCCAGTGCCCTTCCACAAGACAGGCACCGCGGGAGCTGCAGGCTCTGGCTCAAGGCTCCCCGCCTGGCCATCCGGCAGCCTCAAGCAGGAACAGGACCTGAAGGAGGGCCTTGCTCAGACTGCGACAGGCTTGGCGTCGGCTGTTGCCGGGCTGAAGGTGGAAGAGGGAGAAGAGGAGGTCCAGGTGGACCCACGAACCCTGGAACCAACCGTCGTCACTCTCTCCGAGGCGGATTGGAACGTATCGGAAGGGAGTGACATGGGCCCGGAAGAGCCCTCAGCTCCTGCGACCCGAACAGTGAAGAAAGAAAGCGACCAAGGATCAGCCGAGGCAGAAATCAAGCTCGACCCCGGCACGACTGAGCGGGAAGAAAGGCAAGGAGTTGCCGAGGCGCGTCCCGCGCCCGGTACCACCTCTGCCGGATCGAGCTGGAAACCCACGCTGGTGAAGGAGCATCAGGACACAGGACCCGGCGAAGGATGCCCCAAACCAGGGCGTCTCGAACCCAAACATGAGGAGGGCGCGGAACCCGAGGGCCTCACCCTGGAACGGGTCAAACCGCCGCCCGCAGAGGAGTCAGAGGAGGACTCGCCCATCGGGCTCCCCGCAAGGTATCGGCCGGTCGGAAGAGTAGAGCCCGGGCAACCCCAGGAGGAGCGAAAACTGGTCCCGGCGCAGGGTCTCAAGCTTGGCACGGGAAAGGTCAAACTGCTCCAGGCCCTCGCTGAGGCCGATACTGCCAACTGGGAGAACCTCCAGAGTGCCCTGAAGGAAGCGGAAGGGTCGGGAGGCGAGAAGGCAGCACTGGTTGAAGACCTGGAACGCCTCACCCAGCAGCGAAAGGAAGCCGCTGAAGGAATCAAGGAAGCCCTTGAAGCAGAGACGCAGAGGGTTCGCCAATGTGAAGAAGAAGACTCCCGGTATCTGGAAACTCTGGATAGCCAGGGTGAGTATATGAGAAAGCTTGAACGATTCAACCCGGCTCGACCCTCCAAGACCGCCAAGGTCCTTAGTTCGGACCGTCTCACTTCGGAGATTGAAGCAGGAGTCAGCGTCTGGGTGGCGCGCCGCCGAGAAAAGGCGCGTTTGCGGGCCCAGGCTCACAGGGAAGGACTTCAGAGAGGCGCAACCTCGGAAGGAAACACCAAGCACGAACCAATCGAAACCCCCGAGGGAGCCGAAGAAGCACGTCAACAGGCGGCTCGGAGGGAGATAGCCGAGTTTCGGGAACATCTGAGGGAACAAGGCGGTGGGGCGGTACCCAAATACCGTAGGGCACCTGACTCCCGCCAACGAAAAGCCACGAAGAAAAGAAACCGAGCTGCAAAGGAAGCTGAAACTCGGGCCGCGGCAAAGGGAGCCTTGTCGCCCACGCGCAATGATGATGCAGAACGTGACACCAACCACGCGATCGCGCATTTCCATGGGCAAGAGCACGCCCATGCTGTGGTTCTTGCCGGGGCCAGGTTGCCCCCGATTTTAGTTTCCGAGGGGACAGTTCTGCTCGGCCTCGTTCTCCTCACCGGAGTTCTTTTAGGCCTTGCCTGGGGATCATGCCGACGCAGCCTTGCCCACAGTCCCGTACGGACTGACCCGTTGGCTTCCTCGTCAAGGGGCAACCTTCCCAGAGCTCCCCACCAGCAGGAAGCTGCGACTGGCAGGCGCACTCAAACCAGTAGCGCCGCGGAGGTTCGCCGTCGCGGCAGTCGAGGCTCGACTTCGAGCCCGGCACCGGACAATCTTCGGCAAAGGAGCCCGCACCCGTCCCAAAGGGGTCTTGACCGCCGCAGAGCAAACTGGCACAAAGAAGGTTGCTCCCGCACGGGTGCTTCTACCCTTTGGCTTGAAGCATGCAAAGACTGCGTGAGCATCTCTGAGGTCGACGACTACCAGGGGAGCGTGGAGGCCACCTGGAACGGAGCCCGCTGGCACAAACCGCAGTGCGGGCATACCCGAGGAAGGAACGTGGTGCAATTTGCCCCTTGCCCAGAGTGTGCAAGAGTTGCCGCCCCGTCCCAGTCCCGCGGCTCGATCAGAGGCCCAAGGCGCAACAACGATGCTGAAAGGGACACGAATCATGCCATCGCGCACTGGTTCCTCCTGGCGATAGCGCTGGGCCTGTACCTGGCCGGTGTCTGCTGGCACTGGGGTGAACCTTGCGGGGGCCCACAAGAAGGACAGGAAAGGACCCGTGTGGGGGGTCCGAGTGGCCGCAAGGTTCGATTCGAACCCTACCACGAGACCCTCGCGGCAGCCGGATCTCCCACCAGTCAAGCCACGGGTAAGAAACAGAGTATTGAGAAGCCGAGGCGGCTAGGTAACCCTCAGGCTGCTAGGGCAGCGCAAGGGGTGACTGGACCCACGCTGGGCCTACGCTTGAAGTGCAAAGAAGATTATCACGAGGAAGCCATTCGTGTCGCCCTTGACCGCCTCGCCATCTCTACCCGGCGGACTTATGAATCTCAACTTAAGTGGTGGAGGCTTTTTTGCGCTCGTAGAGGAGTCAGTTGGATTCTCACTGGCCCCTCCAGCAATAAGACGGAAGAAACACTCCTCATCGACTTTCTCCTGCATTGTGCCTGCAATGAAGGGCGCGCACCGGGAACGCTGAAGCTTCGGCTGGCCGCAGTGCGCAGCGTCCACCTTTCACTCGGCATGGAAGATCCCTTGGAAGGCCGAGGAAGAGTTGCCATGGCACTGGCCGGCCTACGAAGGCGTTACAAGGTTCCTGAAAGGAGGGCACCAGTGACCCCCAGGATGCTCCACTATCTACATGATCGCCTCCGTGGCTCGTCTTCGAGCCCGGAGTCTGTGCTCCTGTGGGCCGGGATCTGCCTTGGGTTCTTCTTTCTGTTGAGGGCCTCTGAATTCCTTCCCCTTGGTTACCTTCCTCTTTCGAGACACCTGAAGGGCCACCAGGTACTGCTGTACTCTCATGGCAACCTGTGCACTATCAGCAACCTGGTAGAGGCCGATGAAGTTCGGGTCAAGCTCGTCGGCAGCAAGACCAATTACAACTTGGAAACAAATCGCAATCACTACCGAACTGGAAACCAAGCTTGCCCAGTAGAATCGGTTGTCCGGCTGTTCCAGAAATTCCCAGAGAGATATCTGGGCGGCTGCGAAGCTACAGAGCCGCTCTTTAGGACTCCCTCGGGAGAGGGAGTCCAAAGGGAGGCGATCCAGATGCTGCTGAGAGAAGCCGCTTGCCAATGTGGTGTGGGTGGAACGATTGGTTCGCACTCATTACGTTTTGGTGGTGCAAGCGCGCTATGGACGGCATTTAAAGACGCATCTGTGGTGAGAAGGTTTGGACGTTGGGCGAGCGACGCTTTCCACTCCTACTTGTGGGAAGACCGGGAATATTCCCGGGGAATGGCAGCATCTATGTTGAACACTGACCTCGCACCGACGTGAAAACCCAATTTTGTGCCACGCCGGCCCTGTGTCGGCCGGGCTCGCTGCCAACAGGCCTGAGGCGCGTTTCGCGCCCGGGCAGTCGCCCTTGCATCTGCCGAAATGACGGGAGGGGGTTGAGCCCAATGGGCAAAGACCTTTTCAGCCCTTTCGCGCGCAAAAGCATGGTTGGGCGCGCAGCGGTAGTTTTGATTCTAGGGAAACCCAAAGGGTCCAAACTGTAGGAGCTTAGTGTAGCGCGCTCTAGGTTTTGACCTAAATAGGGTTTACCTTAGTTTTGGGCTCAAGGTAGCCCACCCCCCCACCCCCTGAGCCCAATGGGCAAAGACCTTTTCAGCCCTTTCGCGCGCAAAAGCATGGTTGGGCGCGCAGCGGTAGTTTTGATTCTAGGGAAACCCAAAGGGTCCAAACTGCATTGCTGCACTGCATCATTGCTGTATTTTTTAGCAGCAGTATCGTTCATGTTCCATTCGTTTCTATTTTGGATCCAGCGCGCTTCAGAAAATGTCCAGACGCAAAACGTTTCCAGAAGTTGCAGTGCGCAAAGTGTGAGGTTATGTGGCGGATGTCGCTGACGGCGCAGCGTTCAAGATTCTCGACTGGGAATGGTGCATATCAGCAGCTGGGTGTTTCTCAAAGTCACATGAAAGACAGGTAACAAATACAAAATTTGGACGATTTTGGGGTCCTCCATTTAAGAACACCTCCATTGCCCCTAGCACCGTTGAGTCCAAATGCACCACAGCTCCATTGGTGCGAAGAGAATAAATCCCAAGTTTTGGCAGACTTGCGCGAAAAGGCTCGGATCGAAATGGATCGAAATGGTATAGCAGGTTAGTCTCTTCACGCTGTTACTTCCGGAAATTTCAGGGCGTACGCCCTTCAAGACAGTAGAAGTTACAGACTCTGCGCTCGGGACAGGCATGGGGGTCGCATTTGCCCCTACCTCATGTGGGGTCGCACTTGCCCCTACTCAACGTGGAGGTAGGGGCGAATGTGACCCGACCTCGTTTTGCGTGGCAGGCGCAATAGTTTCAGAGTCTCGAAAGGATCGTTTTCCAGCTGTGACAGTCAGCTACGACGTCTTTTTCAAGTGTTACGTTGTAACTTGTAACATCCATTTCAAGCAACTCCCAAAACGCTGTGGATGCTACGTTGTAACATCCATTTTAATCAACTTCCAAGACGCTCTGGATGCTACGTTGTAACATCCACTTCAATCAACTTCCAAGACGCTCTGGATGCTACGTTGTAACATCCACTTGAAGTCATTTCCAAGACACTCTGGATGCTACGTTGTAACATCCATTTCATTTAACTTCCCAGACGCTCTGGATGCTACGTTGTAACATCCATTTCAATCAACTTCCCAGACGCTCTGGATGCTACGTTGTAACATCCACTATAAGCAACTTCCGAGACGCTCTGGATGCTACGTTGTATCAACCATGTGAAGGCAAGTGACCCCGTGCCCCCCCCAAACCATGTCCCCAAGTCCCCCCTAACCAATGTCCCCAAGTCCCCCCTAAATGTCCCTTGTCCCCAGGTCAAACCCTAAAAGGTTGAATTCAGGTATTCAATGGAAAGGCAAGTGACCTAACCAATTGTCCGCAAGTCCCCCCTAACAAATGTCCCCAAGTCCCCCCCCCTAAATGTCCCTTGTCCCCAGGTCAAACCTTAAAAGGTTGAATGAGGTATTCAATGGAAAGGATTGTGAGGTAGGGGCGAATGTGATTCTAGTTGGGGTAGGGGCGAATGTGACCCCCGTCCCTGCACATCCTTGGGACCTATTTCCCACAACATGAAGCTGGCATGATGTCTATATAATTATCTCCAGACGATGTAGGCGCGAGCAGCCAGAACATGTCAACTTGATTGTCAAGAATTTTCCCTGAGAAGCCACGATTTCAGTTTCGATTCCCCGCTGGCATCACAGGGAAGAGAGAAAGTTGAGCGACCTACGTGAAAGGCTTGGAAATTCGGAAATGTATGGGTATTCAGTCGGTATTCAGTATCGGTAAGAACCAAGCTTGGCAAAATTGGTAGGCAAACATATACTGTATACGCAAATGCTTTCTGGTTGGTAGTTTCAAATGCTTCTAAGGCCTTTTGTCTTGGTCCAATCAATTGCATCATGTCAAGGGGTGGTGCCACCCGTTGCAGCTCAAGTGCATGAAACTGACGGAGTATCATATGCCAGCAATGCTTTCTCTTTGATGCCAGATATAGTGCCCGGCACCCGCCGGGGCGGAAGTTTCGAAAACAGGACATGGCCTATAGGAACGTTTTTGAGATGCAGAGACCATGAGGGATTGAAGTTGTGAGGCGCATCAACGAATGAGGAAATGGTGGTTGAGATGCCAATGAAATGACATGACAGAATCCGTGTGCAAATGAATGAATCAATGAACAAATGAGCCGATGAACCAATGAATCAATGAATCAGCGAAGTCATGAATTAGTGCATCAATGAAGCAACGAAGTAATGACTCAATGAATCAGCCAACCAATGAACCAATGAATCGATGAATCAGTGCAACAATGACTCAATGAATGAATTCATGAATGATTTAGCGAGCCGATGAATCAATGAATCAGTGCATCAATGAATGACTGAAGTAGTGAGTAGATGAGTCAACGAATCAGCAGTGATTCAGTGAATCAATGAAGCAATGAACCAATGAATCAGTGAAACGGTGATGCAGGGAATCAATGTCAATGACTCAGTGGTTCGGTGATTCGTTGAATCAATGAATCAATACACGGGTGAAATAGTGAGCTGATGAGTCGATGAATCAATGACAGAGTGAATGAGTGAGTCGATGAATCAATGAATCAGTGAACCAACAAATCAATGACTCACTGATTCAGTGAGTCAAGGAATCACTGATTCCGTGAATCAATGAATCAATGAACCAATGAATCAGTGCATCCATGAATCCATGAACCCATGAATCAATGAATGAGGGGATGGACGGATGAATGGATGGATGGGTGAAGGATTTTTCTCTTTGTTGAAGAACTACTTCACTGAGCGTCCTCTTTGCTGAGGCACCTCTCTTCTCAGCTACTTCTTCTCTGAGCAGCCATTTATTTATGTGGGTTACTTCTGCTCTGACCTGTCTCTTAGATAGCTCTTTTATAGCTTCTGCGACCCAATTCATCTCTTCGCGCAGCTGTTGCAATGCGTTTAGCAACTTCCACCTCCAATCCCACTTCCCAAGAGCGTCGCAGCAGAACTCATGCTTTTGCTGTGCGCAGCCGTGCCAATACGTTTTGTGACAGCCGGTTGCAAACCCACATAGCAGAAGCCTGACACCAAATTGATCAACCCTACAACAATAACAACACCTTCCACACTGCTCCGAACGTGCCAGTTCTTCTCAAGATTTCATGTGCAATCGAGCTCGCGCTACAGTTTGGTACACATTTTGCCGACCTTCCAAAAGTGCTCCGACCATGCCAGTTTTTTGTGATCTTTGATCTTTACGTGAAACCAAGCTCTCGCTACAGTCTCGTGCGCATTTCGCAGACCTCATCTTCCAAAACTGTTCCGTCAGTTTTTTGCGATTTTGAATTGCAAATCAAGCTCTCGCTGCAGATCGTGCACATTTTGCCGACATCATCTTCCAAAAGTGTTCCGAACGTGGCATTTTTTCAACATTTTCAAGTGCAAATCGAGGTCTCTCTCTACAGTCCTGTGCGCTTTTTGTCGACAACTTTGCCAGATCGAACCCAGGAACCGCAGAAAACGGAGACCCTCCTTCAGCGACCACGGAAACCACTTTACCCGAAAAAGCAGGGTTTTGCGCCTGAGAGTGTTTTCACCCGTGGCTTCACGCGTTCCCAAGCTGTTACTCTTCTCTACGGCTCCCACACTTGAACTGCTCTTGTTCACCATGTTTTTGACATGATGATGCTGACCTGAAGATGACATGATGCCAAGACTGCCCCTGGATGTTCGTCGGTAGCTCGGAAATTTTCGAACGAAACTTCCTTTGAACAGTAAGTTGTCTATGTTTTCATGATATTCATGCCGTTTGCGCATCTTCTTGCAACTGGGGCACCGGTGTCCACTGTTTGCACCCACCAGTACAGGCGGTTGTCCTATAGCAGCAAGTCACAAGGGCTAAATGAGGTAAGGCACCAGCTGCTTGGCCACATGTTAATTCTGGAAGCGGCTGGGTGTTGGATGGTGATGGCATGGTGTTGTTTCCTAGAGTTTTTGTTGCGATGCAGCAGCTTTGAGCTAATTAACAATGAAGGATTTTGAAGTAGCTGTAAAAATGGCCGATTCGACAGGTGTTCCTAGTGTCACCTTTTAGTTATACGGTGGTTGGCGCAGCAAGGCTTAGAATAATGTTTTCATTCCTTTTGTCTAGAGAGGAAAAATCATAGGATGCGAGGGTGGTTTCGTTTTGATGTTTTCAGTCAAGGGGGAAAATTCGGTCGTGCAGCCTTTACTAATTGCTTGCCATTTTGTTTGGCGAAAGGTGAACGCCATGTCTCATGCACTGAACATCCGTTTAGCGCAACTCTACGGGAACCCTTATAGTTGGAGCAAAAAAACATTGGTTTTCTGCAACGTCAGGCAACATTTCCCCCAAATCAGTCCGTCAGTCCATTGAGCATTCAGCACTTTGGCCCTCTGACCCCCGCGGCTATGGCATTGGCCCTCGACAGGGATGGCGATGAAATCAGCGAGCAAGTGCTGGCTCGGAGGCATGACATGGGTGGACATTACTGTTGAGACCAATTGCTAGATCTAGGCAGATCCAGGCAGTAGCACAGGTGTATATAGGCTACTCTATAGGCCATGTACCGTGCATGCATTGTACGCCTGTTGCAACTGCCATAACCTATGTCAAAGGCTGCTATGCCGCCTAGATTCAGCACTAGCGCAAACCAACCTACACCATTGGAACAATACACCCGGAAGAGGGGTCATTCTGTTCGCACCATTATGACAAAACATGGTGAAATTAGCTACATACTC